GGCGCTGCTCGTTCCTGGACGTGGTCACGTTCCATGTGGGAAGACTGGCCAGGAAGGAGCATCAGGGCTGCAAAAGAACATTTTAAGACTTATTTGCCCACAGATCTTGATCCAATGGGGATCAGGTCTAGCAGCTCAGGAGCTGGAGGTAAGGAAGAGAATGCTCTTTGAGGCTCGAGGAGTACATCAGCTGGAAGGCTGAGATGGAGCAGTCCCTGCAACCTCATCATGTTTCTCTTTCATGCTCAGGACTTTGTCCTCCTACACCATTGCAGCCTCAGGTTGGAGGGAGCAAAAGCTACAGCTCCCCAGAGCAGGGCACGAAGCCCAAACCGGACACCTCCCAGGCACAGTGGCTGCATTCCCTTGGAGCAATTCACCCCGGGAGAGCAGGATCGCTCCCGGGAGTGCAGACCTTGCCTGCAACAGTGCAGGTCACCGGGGAAGGGCTGCCCTTACCCCCATCCCAGAAATTAGGTGTTGACCTGAGAAGAAAAAGTGAGCATGCTATTTCTGCCTGTCTCCTTCTAAGCAAATGCCACACAGCCCAGCTCCACGTCTAGGGTGCTAAAGCAGGCAGGAACAGTCCTGCCTGCCTGCCTGCCTGTCACCAGGCGAAAGGCAGAGCAGCATGTTTCAGCAGCCAGTACAGTGCAGACCAGCACCATCACCCTTTCCTAGGCACAAGTCATTCCCTAGTTCAAAGCCTCCCTGGATCCTGCCCGTGCTGAGCCAAAACATGCCGAAAGTCTGGCTGGAGAAGGGGAGCATCATGCTCCACACTACTTCTTCCACAAGAGCCTGCATCCTGAGGGAAAGGGGGAATTTTGGCTCTTGCACAGCTCATGCCTAGGGAGCTGAGTCCCTCCTTCAGCTGGAGGAGATGACCTGGAGGGGCAATGGCTTTCCAGAAACTGCTGAGACCCCAGGAGAAAAGTGGGGGGCAGATCTTTCCCTAGGGAGAAGCAAAGCTCTGGTGCCATCAGCCTACGTGGATCTGGACCTGCTAAAGGCCAGCTTCCAGGTAATGGGAACAAATACCTGGGGGGTAGAGGATAAGGAGCGTGGGGAGCCTTTCTGGCTGGGGTCCTGCACCCCTCCTCTGCCACCCTGGCCTCCATCCTCACCAGGAGCAGCGGCTGTACTCAGAAACAGACATTTTTGGCAGCAGGCTGGCGTTGCTGCCTGCTGACAACCAGGTTGGGTACAAAACCATAATTGAAAGTTACAATAACTTTTATAATATAGCAATATATTTCATAGTTAAAATAAACTATTATGCTTTCCCCTATTGTTAAAAAAGAAGCGAGCAGTACAGAGGCAAGATGCAAACCCAGGTCGAAGCTCCTTAAGTCTGGACAGAAACGTCTGTGAGTTTGCAGAGAGGATGTGGTATTTTTCTGGCATTTCTAGGACGTTTCCTCGCAGGCAGTGCAGGGAGGAGGTTCGTGGAGCAAAAAACCCGAGGCTGTGCCAAAAATGAGACTGGCTGTGGCTAGGTGGGTCCTGGAGGGGCTTCGGGGTTCAGCCCTGTTGGCGCATGGGGTCGGATGCTTCCCAGCTGCAGAAGGTCAGCATCTCTTTGGGATTATAACTCTGCATCGCAGTTTTGTTCTTGTGCTTTTCCTCCACCTTGGTCACTGGTCCCAGCTCTTCTCTCTGCTTGTCCTCATGCCCTTTGGGGCCACAGGCTCCAAAATGACGTTCTCAGGGTGTGTAGACAGCACTGGCTGGGGAGTATTTACCAGAGCTCTGTAACGGAGACCTGCCGGCCGCTGCCAGGAAGGGAAGCTCCAGCTTGAGCTACCACGCACGCTCCACTGGGTGTGAGCTGGGGGGCTGCCACCTGCACTGAGGCCGCTCAACTGCTGGTGACCAAGAGCCACTTGCAGGGAGCAGGGCAGCAGCTCCAGGTGGGCACCCTGGTCCCAGAGAACCCCAGCACTGGGGGATGCCATGGGCTGGACTGTGCTGGGGGCTCCCCCCCATTCCTGCCCTCACCATGGCCTCAGGGCAGCTCCCCGGTCCCAGCAGCGGGGCTGGGGCAGGGGGTTAGTCTCGGTGCTGGCCTCGGTGAGGTCTGGTGAGCTCGGTGCTCAGGGCTACCGGCACCAGTGTTGAAGCACTGGCAGGGGTGAGGGTGCAATACAGGGGTACAGGCGGTGGGGTGCAGGGAGCAGGGTGGGGTACAGAGTGTAGGGTGGGGGCTGCAGGGTGTGGGATGGGGGCACAGGGCTGTGCAGGATGCAGGGTACAAGGTGCAGACCCAGGGCTGCAAGGTCTCAGGCAGAGGCCTCATCTGGGGTGCAGGGGTGAGGCTGGGGGATGCAGGGTGTGGGGTGCGAGGTGCAGAGATCATACCACCCCAGCCCAGCTCCTGTCAGCCCTGGTGAAATCCCGCTGAAGCAGTGCGTCTGCCCCAAGACAAGGATCTCTTGCACCCATTGCAATCCTGAAGCACTCACCACTGGCTCTTTACTCCCCTTCAGTGCCTCCGGTCCCAGAAAGCTGACAGGTCTTGACAGCAACCCAGTCTTGTCTGACTTGGTTTGATTTCCCAGACTTGATCATTAGCCCGTAAGGAGGTTCCCACTGGTGACAGAGATTCTTGAGCAGCAATACTTCCTCTGGCTCTCTGACACCTTCGGATACATCTTTGCACCTCACCCCATACACAGCCCCGTTACATGCAGCAGTTTGTTCCTGCCTGAACCCTGGGAGAGGTGCAGAAGCTTTTTCTCTGCTGGCTGCCTGCAGGCCAGTGAAGACGCTGCATTTCAGGCTCATTCTCAGAATTTGCAACCTTTTCTCCATTGCCACACTGGAAACCTCCTTACAGAGGTGGGCAGAAGCTTCTGCTGCCAGGGAGGTAGGGCTGAGGGTCACCTGTAGGCACACGGGGAGCAGCAGCAGGGCTAAGAATAGACCTTGGGGGGACTGCCAAGGTAGCAACGCTCTCCCAGCCATCCTGCCCACCCTGCAATTATACTAATGACAAGAGCTTGGAAGAGGGGAAGAGCAGCTCATTCCCAGAAGCCGAGTATCTCCTGCCGGCCGAGGATCAGAAAAGGCTGGCAGCAATCGCTGTGTGCCTCCTCTCCTCCTTGAATGTGATGGAAACGACCATGTCTTGCCACCCTGCTACCAATGGGCTCAATACAACCACCTCTGCAGCTCCGGGAGCTCATTTTGCAGTACTCCTGCTGTTGCCCTGCAGCCTTCCTCCTCCTCTTCCTCCTCCTGCCGCTGTCTGGGGCCAGCAGGGGGGAGAGCTCCTCACTAACTACTGCTTGTTTTCTGTGTAACTTTAATTGTAGGGCACAAAAAGTAAGCCACCTACCACTGGCAGCAAGTGGAGATTTGCACAGAAATTCCTCAGCATCGGGCTGATACATCCCTGCCTATGTACGCACAAAATCCAGCGTTATTTATGGAAGGGAAAGAGTTACAAAGGAGAAGATTACAGGCTGAGTATACCTGGAGTAACACAGTAACTTTGATTACAATTACTGACACTGCTGGGTGAGGTGTAATTAATATCATGGAGTAATTACATGGTTACTTCATCTGTTTAAAAATATATAAATAGCCTCTGCTGAGTTTTCATTGAAAGCAGCAAACACCAGCCCCAAAGCCGGAGCCCAGCAGCAGCAGGCAAGGCTCCGTGCAAGGATCCGGCAGAACCCAAACACAACCCCAGGGCAGAACTGGGGAGGAAAAAGGGGGAAATGGTGAAAGCGGAACAGAAAATGGCTGGTTCCAGAAGTAGCCAGGTGATGCCAAGGGTACCTCAGGAAGCTGACCGCCGGCAAAAAAAAGTAAAGCATGATGGGCTGCGCTTCAGCAGGCACAGGCAGCGGCTAATGCCGAGCACGGGCGCTGTTGCTGAGAGGGCACCGGATGGTGCCGCTGATCCCCACCAAACCCAGCAGAAGCAGCACGAAGGCAATGGGCTTTGTTTTAAACAGATGAAGTGCCTGCCCCCACTACTGCATCACTTGCCAGCAAGCCCCCACTCGACCCTGGTGGATTTGGCACTGCCGGCTGGGCTTGAGCACGGACATTCCTGGTGCAAGCAGAGGTGGTTGTAGCTGATGAGGTTTTTTCATCCAGCAGTTCTGAGGCCACTGCAAAGAGCCCGCTGACTTCCCAAAATGCTGGGGGGGCTCCTGGGTGGGTGGTGATGTGAGCACCTGGAGACCCCCCCCCAGCGTCCAGGCTGGCCAGCCAGCCCTGTCATTGGCCATCACCACATCGGCTGGGGGCAGCCCTGCCCAGCCCCGCATCCCCACATGCTTTAGGCACTGCTTTCCCAGCTCTGGCACATGTCTCCAGGCAGAATGTGACACCGAGGACCAGCAAGAAGAAGCGTCCCTTGTTCTGCCCAGGCAGAAAACACTCACAGCACTGGAGAACCCCCCGGGCAGGTTACGGCCAGACACTGTCACCCGCCCAGCAACATTGCAGGGGGTTCATGTGGGTCCTGGTAAGGAGATGGGATGGAGCGTGGGCAGCGTAGGTCAGAGCCTGTGCAAGAAACCACCACGTTGGCATCTGCCCGGCAGGGCTTTGTGATGGTGAGAGGGGCAGGGGGCGAGGGGAGTGCCCTGGCCCCCGGCGGGGTCCACACAGGGGAGGAAAACTCTCCCTCTGGTGTCTCCGTTGCTTCAGTGCTTCTGACTTGTTGTTTTGTTTTCAAATATGAAGACCTGAGATTGAGCGTGGGTTTTCCGTCTGCCACCGGACGCGGCGGTGCGGGCTTGCCCAAGGCGTTGTCTCCCGTCCCCTTCCTTCACCACGTGTAGAGGCACCTGAACGGGGATGCGATTCCCGATACCAAAGTGTTGGCAAAGCTCCGAGCATCGCTCGGCACTGCTGGTCCCTCCAGCTCCGGCCGAAGGGTCCTGCGGCAGTTTGCGGACCAGAAGAAAGTCCATGGAGACTTCGGGACCTGCGTGGAAATGCTTCCCCTGTCCGTGGGGGGGCTGAGGGGCTGCATTTTAGCAGCTGCTTGAGCTTGTGTAAGGGGTGGGGAAGGAGGTGGAGCTGACCCCGATGGGGCTCTCAGAGAGAGGAGTTTGGGGGGGGCCCACCGGCACACCAACCCCCCGCGCCTCCAGGACGGCAGCGAGCAGGCGCTGCTGCTGCTGGCGCAGCATGTCAGCCATCAGCAGGGGCAGGGAGTTGAAGCTGGCACTGAGTTGCTCCAGCTTGGACTCCAGGCTGCTGATCTGCTTCTCCAGGTCCTCGCTGCGGTCGTTGAGCTCAGTGATGAGGTCATACATCACATTCTGCATCTGGGGAGGGGACAGAGGGGACAGTGGAGGTGTTAGTGCCACTGCCACTGATAGGGTCGAGCCCTATAACCTCTTTCTGCAAGCAAAGCCCTGAGAACCGCCGCATCTCAGTCCACTCTAGGAGCTCACAGGGCACTGTGACCACAGCTTGGCTCGACCTGGGACATTAAAATGAGGAAACCCAGCCTCTGTGCAGGCAGAGGGGAAAGGGGCAGCCAGCCCTGTGCTGCCAAGCAAGGGTACCCCCAGCTGGGGCTGCAAAAAGGGGGTGCAGGGAGCAAAGACCTTTCCTGGAAGCAGGGTGACCCCCCACCCCCAGACCCTGGCTTGTATCTGTGTTTCCCCTCCTGCCTTGCACGGGCAGCCATCCCACAGCAGCTATTCCCAGCTGACATTTACCAAGCCGGAGTATTTTGCGAACAGCCAGGTCCGCTTTAGTTTTTCCAAGTGAAAAGAAACACTCAGGCAGCCTGGCTGAGCCAAGAGGTTGCTGCAGGAACTTGCCTTTGAGAGGTCGACAAGGGTGTTGGCTTGGTCGCTCAGCTTCCTCTGCTCCATCTTCACGCTCCGCAACCTGGGGAGAAGGAAAGAGCAACGCGACTACATCCCCTTCTCAAGTGCAAACTGCAGCTGGAGACCTGCCTGCATCCCAGGCAATGGGAAATTGTCCCCACACCCCTGCCAGCAGCTGGACCACAATTCCCCTGGGGCTGGGGCTCAGCATCCCCCCAGCCCCCCTGCCCAGCACACAGCCCCTTACTGGTGAATGGCTTGTAGGAACTTCCTCTGATGCTTCCTGACTTTAGCATGGTCGATCTTCTTCAGCAGCTTGGTGTGCTTATAAATGAGCCACGTTTCCCGCAGGACATTGGCTGCCGCGTTCTTAATCTGCAAGAGGAGAATTGGCTGCAGGTCACTGGCCCTGGCTGCACTGGCATATGGGATTTCATGGAGACACCAGTCTGGCTCTGCTGTGAGCCGCTGGTTCGTGAGCCAGTGCTGCAAGAGCCCTTGACTCACCCCAGCTGCAGCGAGGCGCTCAGCTCTGTTCCCACATAGTCTCCTGCACCTTTGCAAGGGATCACGGGCAGCTCGAACAGGAGCAAGGGCAGGCAGAGCTGCCCGCACCAAGCAGGGGATCTTGGCCCCCGGTGCACCTACATCCCCATCCTACCCTACACCAATGCTCCGCCACCGGGCTCCTTGCCCGTGCATGAAGCTGTACCCTAAGCCTTGAGAAAAAGAAAAAAATCCCAAAGTTTTTCTTGATTCCTGCATGCATCTGCTGCTCTTGGCAGGTCCCAGCTATGCTGCCAGCACGAGGACACAGCTTCTGCAGGCTTCCCCGGCTAAACTGCAGCTCTGCTGCTCACTCCAAGATGAATTGGCCGCCGTCTGCCTGGCACAGAGCCCACAGATCCATATCCATGGCTGGGGGAGCAGGGCCAACCGGCTGTTTGCTTTCCTGGCCCAGCCATGCCAAGGCCTTTGACTATCCCCAGAGCATCAGGGCTCCTGCCGGCGTGTGGCTTTGCCTGGGGCTCTGCTCTCTGGGGCGAAGTGGGGTGCCCTGGCCACGTCCCAGCACTGGGAGGTCACCCTTCCAAGGGCTGCAACGACGCTTGCTTTGACACCATCCCCTATATAAAATATCACTCCTGCCACAGGCAAGCAGAGCCCATTACATCACGCGGCGCTGTCAGGTTGCCGACGCTTTGCTGTGACGAGGCTGCTGAGACCAGAGACCTCCTGCAGCCCCCACAGGCTGCCAGAGATGTGATGCCGGACCCTGGCACAACCAGCAACCCCATGGACCCCCAGCCATGGCCACAGCCTCCAGATCCCTCCTCGGGAATGGAAACCACAGGAGCCTCACGGCATGGCTCTCCTATGTGGCAGGCGAGGCACTGAATCTCCAAAATACGGTTGTCTTCCTGACACCGAGCTAAGTAAGATCATGCTCCGCAAGAGGAGGGAGTCTGTATCCTCCCAGGGGAAAAAAAAAACCCCAGGCTTTTCATCTCAGGTGTGCAGCCAAGCATCCTATATCACCTAAATCCCCCATACAGAGCTGGTGCTATTTGCTTTCACTGTAACCCTTGTGCCTGTGCTGCATCTGAGGCAGTCAGACACCTTCCTCCACCACGGTACCTGTGAGACCCGCACCCAGAGGTGCTGACACCTTCCTCCCACCATCATACCCATCCACAGGTCCCTCCACACGGCACGGCCCCCCAGTCCTGCTGCTCCCCCTGCAGCACCTTACCCGCTTTGTCAGCTGTGTGTCCATCATGAAGTTGTGGACATGCTTCTCAGCTTTGGTAAGCTCCAGCTTCCTGGCCACCACAGCCACCACCAGTGCCGTGCAGCCAGCACCCTGTGCAGGGACATAAGTCACAGAAATGGTTTATCACCCTCTAGCACCCTCATGCAACAGCAGCACTCCCACCCTCACCATTGCAAACCCCTAATTAAGTAAAGCTCCATGGCCTCCCACCCACATTACCCTAACAAGGAGACATCACAGAGCCTGGGTGTCCTTGAGCAGTTGACAATGTGCCAGGTAATTAACAGAAGAGGCCGGGGGTGATTTATGAGGTCAGTGGTGATCAGCAGTGAGCTCTCGCCTCCCTGGTGCCTGTTAGAAATGGCCAGGCTAAGTCTGCTTACCAGTGCCACTGCAGGCCAGGGACCTGCCCTGTGCTGGTGCCCTGTGGGATGGGGACCCCCTCTGCTCTCAAGAGGGGTCCAGGATGGGAGAGCAGTGGGGAAGCACCAGGCAACCTGGGGGAGACTGGGGAAGGGGCCCCCCGAATGTCCACATCTCCCAACAGTGACAGCTAGAAGGTCGTTTATCCCAGCGATTAGGGCCAGATCCATGCCATAGCCATCATCTCTGGCACGTATTTGTCTTCAGAAAGCAAAGGTGCCAAGACTCTGCTCCCTGTGGTGCTCCTGCACTCTGCCTGCCGCTGCCCATACCAGATGAGCCACTTCCCCCCTCCCAGCACTCTGGCAGAGGCCCATGATCCTGGCAAATGATCGTTAATTTATTAAAGAGTCATTAATTAACATCATGCTCTGAGCTGAATCCTTTAGCATCCCCGAAGGTCCTGCTGTGTGCCCTCGGCTCCCACCACTTCTCTCTTCCCTGTGGGGCGGCTCACCCCAGTCCCGTGGCTCCAGCAGCCCAGGGGAGCCCCCAGCCCCAGCGGTAATGGGGGTCCCCAGCCCCGGCAGGGTGGGAGCTGTGCTGCCAGATGGGCGCCGGGAGAGGGGCATGCTTTGCTGGATGGTGTCTCAGTTCAAAGTTAGCACTGGCTGGGGGAGAGCTCTGGGAGCCCATGGCACCGGGACCCCCTTGACCAAGCCATTGGCCACTCTCCTGCGCTATGCTGCTGGGAAACGCCGCTTCCCCCCCCCAGTAGGGATTTTCTCCCTTGCTTGGCTCCTATCAGCAGCAGCATCCTCACTGATGCCCAACCTCATACGAGACAGGTCAAAGACTTGCAGTTAATATAAAATTAATACCCGCCGGCAAAGCCAGCTCAGCCAACAGCTCTTGCGGGGCACAGAGTGGCAGAGCCGAGCCCAGCCGGTGCTGGGCACCAGCATGGGCTGCCCCAGGTGGGAAAGGAGGGGAACAGCTCCACTCCCAGGGCCTGGAGCCAAAGAGCTGAGGTGCTGGGTGCTGGGGCAGATCCACAGAGGAGCTGTGACCGCAGGGCCCCCGGACGCTCCTTTGGCTGCCCCGGCTGGAAAGCCCTGGAAGCCGGGACATCTCATGGGCGCCTTGGAGCAGTATGCCAGAGGATGGTGACCTTTTAACCATAAGGAAACAAAGCCACGGCAGAGCGGTGATGCTGGCGGGAGTGCGGGGGAGTGGAGGGCTCCCAGCTGGTCCCGGCTTTCAACAGGAGCCAGCAGCATCCGGGATCGCTCCGGGCAATGGAAGCCAGGTGGCGTGAATGGGGACATCCAAGGGATGCTCAGGGGCCCCTCTGCTCCCTGGGGACATCCCCGACCCCACTGCAGTGTGTCCAAATCCACCCCGAATTCACCAGTGGGGACCGCAGGGCAGGGTACTGGCTGGCTTCCCACACTGCGCCCCGCAGGACTGCAGCACCCACCAGGCACACAGCCAGCCTGCACCCTCACCTCCTTAACCAAACTGCCATGTCCTGCTAATTACTGTGCTTACAGTAATTGCAATTACAGCTCTATCAGCATCCAGGCTGCAAGACCTTGGAGCTGAAGCCGTTATGCCTCATGCATGGACAAGCCAGCTGGGAAGAAGGTCCCCATAAAATCTGGTGGCCCTGCAGCCGTGACAGGGACAGGCAGAGCCTGAGGGACAGGTGACCAGCTCACCACGGCCCTTACCATGATGCCAGTGAGCAGGCAGACACCCTTCCCACAGTAGGTGTGCGGGACCATGTCACCATAGCCGATGGAAAGGAAGGTGATGGAGATGAGCCACATGGCACCCAGGAAGTTGCTGGTTACATCCTGCTGGTCGTGGTACCTGCCAAGGACACATGGGCATCAGTGTCATGACAGGGGATGGGGACAGCTGCAGGCAGCAACAGGGGCACCTGGGGATTAATAGGGATTAATAACGTGGCAGGCTGCCCAATAGCAGCAGTGGTTGCACAATTTCTGCCACCAGAAAACCCACATGGACAAAATCAAAGCAAAAACTCAACGGAAAGGGCTTCTGCTTTCGGTCAGACCTGTCACCACATCCCGGTCCTGCCGCCTGTGGCCCCGGTGCCACGTGGTGGTAAGAGCTGGCTGATGGGAGAAACAGCTGCAGCTCTGCAAAGCTCCCGACCACGCTAGCTCGCCGCCAGCGTCCTCCGCATCCCCTTGCTGCTGCAGCTTGGGCTGAGCCCATTCCCCCTGTGTTGCCTCGGTGGACAGTGCTGTCAGCAGCCCCAGCAGAACCACTGGGGATGGATCCTGCCAAGCCTCCGGCATGCACTTGGCTCTCGGACAGCGCAAGGGGAATGGCTCACATGCTCGAGACAAAGTACACATGGAGCAGCCACAGCTTTGGGGATACTGCAGACTTTCCATGGCCATGTCCCTGCTGAGCGGTCAGTGACCGCCCTGGCCAGCCCAGCATCCGGCTGCGGCTCTTCCAGCAAACATGCAACCAGGGGCCTCGGCTGCCTCCGGCTCCCCAGGGCCAGCACGAGCCCAGCTGAGCAGCGTGGGGATGCTTCCTGGGGGATGCAGGGGCTGGCCCAGCCCACAGTGGGACTCAGCCCCAAGCCCCAGGGTGGGCAGGAGCAGGCAGCACCTTTGCCCCACCACGGGCAGGATGGTCACCCTCCTGCCTGCATGCATCCCTCTCCCCGGCAGGCTTCTCCCTGCCTCCTCATGAAATCATTAGAGGGAAACCAGATGGAGCTTTTGGCAATGCCCCCTGGTTCATCCCGGCTCCTCGCTCCTGGAGCAGTTGGGTTTTCTCCTCTTCCGAAATGTTTTTCCCCCCGAGCAACTGGAGACTCGAAAGATGCTGGTGCACGAGAAAGTGCCCTCAGCCATGGCAAGGGCCACTGCCGCACTCTGGGCAGGGCTGGCCAGGGGAGCCAGAGCCTACCACCACAGCTACAGCAAGGGCTCCCCAAAATCCAGCACCAGCAGGGGCACGCACCCTCCATCCCAGCCAGCGTGTTCCCCTGGGAAAGGCGCAGCCCAGCCCAGCCCGCAGGATGTGAGCTCTCAAGCCACGGGGATGACCCCGGGAGCATCATGCTGGGCAAGGGGGTTATGGCACAGACAGACAGACAGATAGACAGATGTTTTTCTCTGCCAAGAAGCACTTTGAGCAGAAGGAGCTGATAAACAGGAGGAGCCGGCACATGCCACAGCCAGTGCGGGCAGGAAGAGGGGCCACCCGGTCACACCAAAGGCTGCCACAATCTGTTAGACCCCAGCGCCGGTTTCCATCGCCCCCTCGTCCGCCTGCCCCCCACTAAGGGCACAGCCAGTCCGCACCGGCGGGGCTGCCACGAGCATCACCCTGGTTCTGCGTCGCGCCACCACCGAGCGGAGCATCGCCACGCCAGGATTCTGTGGCACCGCTGGCTCAGTTGACCCGACCCCATCGGTTTGGGCAGCACTGCCAGGGAGCTCCGGGCTGGCTGCACCCTCACCCTGGGGAGCAGGACTGGCTGCACGTGCATGCACACGTGTAAGCACACGTGCATGCCGTCGGCGGGCAAGGCCGGCAGCACTGCCGGCACCGCAGGCAGCTCTGCGCAGCGGCCGGGCGAGCGGGCGAGGTTGCTAAGCAACTTGCTGCCTTTGGAGAGCTGCGGCCCCCCCGGCATGCACGGGAGGATGCCCAGCAGCGATGCTGAGCCCGCGGGCACTGGAGCAGCCCACAGTGCTGAAGGGACGTGCCATGACCATGCCACCCCAGGCCGGGGACTGTGTCTTGGAGCGGCACGGCCATTTCTGAGCTGTGCAGCCCCAGCGGGTGCTGGTTGGGATGGTCCTGCAAGCCACAGCAAACTGGTTTCCAGTGCCGGTGCGGCAACCTGCCATCACTGGGGACACGGGGACATGGCTTGGGTGGCCCTTGCAGGAGCTATGTGGCACCCAGGGCCAGTGCATGCCCCAGGGCCGGTGCATCCCTCGGGGACAGAGCATGTCCCAGGGGTTGTGCATCCCCCCAGGTCCTGCATTCCCCCGGGTCCTGCAACCCCCCAGGTCCTGCAACCCCCCGGGTCAGTGCATCCCCAGCCCGGCCGGGTGCCTGCCTGGGTTTGTGTCTGCCACTCTGTAGACAGACGGAGGTGGCGGCAGCTCATGGCAGCTGTGGTGCTGGTGATCTGCAGCGCCTCGTCTGCGTCATTTCTATCTTTTTTTTGTCACTAATGGTTCTTTATTTACATTGCATTTTCCAGCCTAAGCCCCCCAGGTGCAGAATCAACCCCCTGCACGTCCCCTGGGAGCCTGTCTGCCTGCTCCCTGTTTAGGAGGCAGAAATAAAAATCTCCCAAACACAATTAAGCAGCACACAACTATCCAGCACATCCTGAGAGCATCATTAAGGGAGGCAGGAAGGCAAATACAGCCTGTAAAAGCTTGTAAAATCTCAGCATGCCACTCTGCTCCGCTGCCACGGTACTTAAAGCTGCTCTAATGCCTCTTCACGGGGTGACCAGCACGATGGTTCCCACCCAGGGGAAGAGGAGGGGTGGCCTTCCTCCCGCCTTGCAAGCACCCAGAAGCAAGCTTGGGTGTCCCAGGGGACCCAGAGGTGCTGGCTGGTATGATCCCTCGCAACTCAGTTCCAAGGAAGGCACAAAGCTGCTGCAACAACTTAAAGGGATTTCACTTTGCTAATCCTCAGACACCAAGTCGTAATGCGTGCGTTGTTTTGGGTACTTTCCTGCAGACCAACCCCGGGCTCCAAGAGGCCTCCGGGGCAATTAGCCATGCTTTGATGGCAGTACGGCATTGAGCTCAGCCTCTTCGGGACAGGGATGGCCCTGTGCTGGGACAGGACACAGGACACCCTGCAGGGCACCTGCCCTCCCTGCCCCGGGATGGACGGGTGCCACCGGCACTTTGCACCGTGGCCAGGGAGAAACCCCTCTGGTACAGTGCTGGAGTGGGTTGGGGGTCCTCCACCACAGCCCCCTGGTTCCTCTCAGGGGACAAAAGGGTGCTGGCACATCCTCGAGAGATGGAAGCACAACAGTACCCACCGGAGCCAGTCGCCACAGCAACCCCCGCGTGCCGAGCATGCCGATGCCAGCGTGATGCCATCCGGCAGTGGGTTTGTCACTGTGGTGTTGTCATGGCAGTCGCTCGCAGCGACGCCAGAGCCCGAGCCAGGCACTGCCACTAGCCAGCCTTGCAGCACCTCTGGCCTCTCCCTGTGCACAGCCCCCGCCAGCTCCCACCGCTCCCCGCGTCCCCCACCTGCCCTCCTGGGGCTCCCGTGCTAGCTGGCACTGCACACCATTCCCTCGCGCAGGGATCCTGCCTGTCCCCAGGAATTGTGCTGCGAGGACAGGGCTGTCCCTGCCTCTGCCTCCTGCCCGGGATGGGGGCTCGTTGGTGGGAACCCGCAGCTGCTGAGCCCCCGGATCTCTGCATCCCTCCCACAGAGTGCTGGGACATCGCAGCTCCACTGAGCATCCTGAACCGCCATGCATCCCGAACCTCCCCATCCCCGCAGCCCCAACCCCTCTCACCTCTCACACACCCGGACCGTCCATGCAGCAATGATCCAGAGGGAAATGCTGAAGACCAGCAGCACTGTCCCGGGGCAGATGGTCATGAGAGTCTTCATGACAAAGCGGGTGTTGAAGTTGATCTTGTTGAGTGCCCCGATGCTGCGCGAGGAGGCATCAGTGAAGAGCTTGCTGTGCAGCAGCATCACCCGAGCAATCAGGTAGAGGCGCAGGAACATGGGGATGGACAGGATGATGTCCACATCTGCCTCTGCCCGAGAAGGTGTGTAGGAGAAAGCCAGGCGGGCTGTCCAGAAAAATTTGTACTCCCCGGGGATGGGGTGTATGGCACAAACCAGCATCTCCAGGCTGATGTAGAGGATGCGCTCGTACGTCATTGCTATCCGCCAGTCGTCAGCTCCATTGTCGATCACAAAGAGCTACCGGGACACAAAACCACAGAGTTACCAGTGGCCCTAGCCAACCCTGCCCCACCAGCATCCCACCATGTGCAGTGGCGGGGCATGGACACCAGAGCCCCGTGGAGCTGGGGATGCCTTCAGCCAGGAGGGCTGGGGAGGGCAGAGGAAGGAAAAGGTGGGAATGAGCCTTTGCCATCCACTCCGCTGCTCTGCCTGCTTGTTCAGAGGATGCTTACGGCACTGGGGACACCCCAGAAAGCTTTCATTTGCCCAGCCTCAAGCACACGCCCAGGCCCGTCAAGGAGACAGCTCCCTCTGACCCACTCCCGCACACCAGCTGGCAGAAGCCCACCTCCCAGCACAGCCTCCTCTCCTAGGGCACAGAGTCGAGTGAGCCATCATGCCACAGAGCACCAGCACAAGCCACCCCAGCCTCTTTGCTCCTGCCAGCACTGCACCAGTGTCAATGACAGCCACCACGCCCCAGGTGCCAGAGCAACTTTTGGGGAGGGAACACCACAGCCAGCAGACCCGGCCACTGGCAGTGATGGGATACGGTTGTCATGGCAACCACCAGTTCATCCTGGGTACCAGCTCCTCTCCCACTGCCAGCGATGGATTGGGGGTCTCTGCAGGAGCTGGGGGGGGATAGCAGCTTGGGCTGGCCCCTTTGGGACACCGCCAGACCCCTGGGGGTCACCCACCCCATCCTGCCTTGGCAGGTCTGTCCCGAGGCTGCCATCAGCTTGTCCCTGGTGCAACGGGGACACTGGTGTCACCTACAGCAGCGGGGACACGCTCGGGGCCTCTCTGCAAGCAATGCTTGGCAAAGACGCCGCTAGGAAGGGATCCAAGGGGGATGTGACAGGCAGCGCTACCGTCACCAGCGTGTCCTCGACCCTCCAAAGCACAGAATGACACTGGCTCGTCCCGGGGGGGTCAGGAACTCTTGTGGCCGCTCCAGCCTGGGCGGTGGGTGGGAGCACAGCTCTGGCTGGCTCTTCGCCTGGGAACAACCCTCCCACCCTGCCGGAGGCCCCAGTGCACCTGCGCCAGCCGCCTTGCTGGCACGACACAGCACGCAGGGCTCTCCCCGGGGACGACAAAAGCCGCCGGGACTGACTCACGGAGCGGCCGTCCCCGGCCACCTCCCTTTCTGTTTGGAAAGCTCTGCTCCTTTTAGCTGCTTTGTTTGAGAAATTGTTTATAAAAATGCTCCAAGCTGTCAAGGGAGATCCTCAGGCATTTAGCAAGCTGACAGCCCATTCCTTCCTGGAAAAGGGTGTTAAAAATAAACAAATTAGCAAGAGGAAAAAGGCAGGGAGCCTTTTGACTGCGTGTGGGGGGTTTTCAATGGGCCAGGTCAGGGAAGGGAAGGAGCAAGGGGGATTTGGGCAGGTTCCCCCTGCACCAGCCCCATTCAGCCCTGCACCTGCGGTGCATCGCTGCAGGTTTCCATGGAAACCCTGGCGCGGTCCAGCGGTACCTGACGGGGCACCCCCAGCACTGGCTCCAGCAGGGGAAGGAGCAAGAATGTTGGCCATCACAGCTCCAGACAAGCGAAGCACGAGGAAAGCTGCCGAGAAGCCACGCAGGTAAAAAAGCTTCACCAAACTAAATGCACGAAGAGCCCTGAGCATGCCGAGGGCAGGGATGAGGGGGGCTGTGCCCCCACAAAACCTCCCAGCTGGAGCCAGCAGCCTCACCAGCACCGCAGTCCATCATGCGCCGTGGCGATAAACATGGCGCTGGCAGGGGACAGCACGCTTTGTATGACGCCGGGGCACCAGACCCTGCTCCAGGGTGCAGACCAGAGTCATCTCCAGGGTGCCAAGCCCAGTGCCACCAGGAGCGGGTCAACCTCTGCCCATGGGTGCAGGGAAGGCGAGGACCTGGCGGCACTGCTGGCACCTCTCTGCACACGCTCAGCCTAATGAAGAGCAAGTGACGCACGCAATAAGCAGCAGCTCGTGGCCTTGCAGCAGAAAGCAGAGCCGGGAAGCCGGGGTGGGGGGCGCAGCTGGAGGATCTTGTTCACCTGCAGCCCTGGCTGGCAGGCGATGGGCACAGGGACACCCCGGGGACCCATGCCATCCCAGCCCATTGGGTGACAGTGGGTGTAGGCAGCCAGGGAGAGGACAGGCAGGACCCCAGGAGCTGGACCCAGGACTCCAGGCACAGCGATACCCCAGCCCTGGAGAAAGTGAGGCACAGGGAGAGCGGCAGATGTCCAGAAGGACTCAGCAATTAATGCAATTAAGACTGAGGGAAGAGGCTGAAGCCACTGTCAAGTCTTTCCTGAAGGCCAGGGAGGTCTGGCAGTGCCGCAGGGGGTAAGTGCAGCGCTCCCTTAGGCAAAAGGGACAAGAAGCTGAGGATTTACAGTTCTGTCAGCCCCACTTCCAACCCCGGCCGGATTATCAGCAATCCCTTTATAAGCACCTAAGAGATAATAGGGCGATCAGCAGCCAGCACAGCTTTGTCTGGAGCAAATCAAGTCAAACCGATCTCATTCCCTTCCTTGCCAGTGTAACCGGCCCAGCAGAGCAGCTGGAGCCACACAGCTGGACCATGGCAAGGTTTGGCACCCGCAGTGGCACGACACGCGTGCTCGGGGACCAGGACCCCGCGGGGGGGGGACAGCAGCAGGGACTTTGGCTCTGGAGAGGCGGGAAGCCCCACGCTGCTCGGGTGGACACTGTGTTTGCACAACCTGCTCCCAAGAACAACAAGTGGAGGAAGCCGGTGAGCGTCGGGGCATGGCCCGCCTGGCTGACCCCAGCTGCCACCACCCCGGGGTAAATATTATTCTAGCAAAAAACAGAACTCTCAAATATTTGCTTTGAGCAACCCCACCGTTGGGCTTGGTTCCCGTGCCGGCAGGCTGAGCCAGAGAGGGGGGCTCCCAGGAAGGTCCCTTGCAGGCAGGAGGCAGGCAGGGAGCGGGGCGCCTGCCTCCAGCCCCCTGGCCAGCAAAACTGCCCCAGCCCCCAGCCTTGAGCCGGACGAGGTGGGATCTTTCATGCACAAAAACACCAGAAACTCAGGGTCAGGGAACTTCAGCATCCCTTCCCAGGATGCTCCTTCTCCTGCCCGGCGATTCATTCCTCCTGTCCCCAAAATACGCTGGCATCGTGCCGAAGCCAGAACCCATGGGGAAGCGCAGCCTTCCTGGAGCAAACTGGGAGCCCTGTCATTTCCCAGCAAAGCCAGGGAGGGCTGGGAGGAAGAGAGTGGGCAGCCCTGATTAGGAAAGGATTTCACAGCTTTCCTTGGCATCTCAGCTGGTCCGAGCCCTTCCTGGCTGCAGCCTCCCCCAGCCGCCGGCAGCTCTGCCAGGCACGCTGCGCTCGGGCAGACCCCTCAGTGCCCAGCCTCACTGCCCCCTGAGACCCCAGCAAGGAGGGAGGAGGCTCCATGCAGGCTGTGAGCTCAGGTACTGCATCCCACTGGGTTGGGTGGCAAATCCCGCAGCCCGCCCTGGCCACCCACCCTGGCAGCCCATTGCTTGGCGCCAGTGACACCAGGACCTACCTGCACCTCCCGCGTGTGGTAGGCAATGATGAGACCCAGCAGGATGACTGTGGAGAGGCTGATAAGGCATTTCAGGGCCAGGGAGAACATGGAGTCCTGCAAGGCGAGAACAGGGCGGGCATTAGCGGGGACACAGCCATGGGACCCTGCTGGCGCTGGCCGCCACGCTGGGCTCCACACCCCCAGGGAGATGCTTCCCCCCCCCCAGCACTTCAGCTGCCCCAGCTCCCACCCCACATGGCTCGGCACGGTAGCAAGGGCACCACCAGCACCGCCAGCACCACCGGCACCACAGGCAAGAGCAGCCCTTTCTCCAAAATGGCTTTTTTAATCCGATTCTGCCAAGTGTAATTACCAGTCTCCCCTCGCTGGCACATGTGACACCAGTGCCCTGGCCGCATCCAGCATGAGCCCAGTATTATGGTACCCTAATGGATGGTCTAATTAGATCCTCCTGCTAATTAGCTCTATGTAAATTAAACCAGCCCCTGATTCACTGGTGGCTGAAGCGGCTGCTCCCCAGGACCCCACCAAGAAGAGCAGGATTCACTGTCCCCTCCCACGGGCTGCCCTCTGGACCCCATTTCAGTCACCAACAAGCTCATGCTGCTGCCAGACACGATCTGGCCCCACTGGTGGCGAGGCATCCGCCAACCACTGGCAGCCCCTCACCAAGGTGTTATCTCCAAACCAACCTGCTCTGCCACCGCACCCGTCCCGCACCTCCACCCCATCCATCCCCAGCATGCCGAGACCTGGCACACTCAAGGCACTCTGAGACCTGGCATGCTCATGACACACTGAGACCTGGCACGCTTGTGGCACACTGAGTCCCAGCACACTCATGGCGTGCTGAGACCCAGCATGCTCATTGCATGCTGGTACTTGGCATGCTTATGGCACACCGCACCCATCCTTTGCTCCCTAGCGTGCCGGGCTGCCTTCGGCCTCACTCCTGTCCCTCTCCCCATGTTCTCCATCCCCACAGGGTATTTAAACACAGAGAAGGGACTATTTGCCATGGAGGCAGTGGTGCATTGTTAACAACTTGGCTCCGGCCATACAATTGTGTGGATATAATGGCTGGTGCTGAGAGAAGTGCCAGGGACCAAACAACGGCTATTAATAGGCAAACTCCGGGGCAGGGCTCGTGCCAAGGCTGCTCTGGCCAGACCCTTCCTGGGGGCACTAATCCTGCCTGCCCAACGCACGGGGACCCCATGGGCCTGGTGGGTCCCCAGGAAGCCCAGCCGCCACAACCTGCCTCTGCACCTCCTGGGGACCCACTGGCCCTCCCAGCAAGCGTTATTGGCAAAGGCTGCTGCACACCCACCGCGTTTACCAATGCCTCCTGCCAGCACTGGGTCTGGAGGGACCCAGCAGGAAGAGCCGCTGCTGGATCCCACACTCACAACGAACAACGGGGGGGGGGGCTTGGCCAAACTGTGGCAATGCCTCAGCACCCCCGGCATGCATCCTCCCTGCACCATGCAGGTGGCAGGATGCTTCACCCCGGTGGTGCCGCACAGGCTGCTCATGGCTCTGGGAAGCAGCGGTGCCACCCTGGAGGCAGGAGAGGCCCCATCCTGCCCACACTCAAGGGACAGGCAGAGAGCAGGGAAAACCCAGCCACTGCATCCTCGCTTTCCGGCTCAGCCCCGGCACTCTCCGGCCTGGGGAGCACGCGGCGGCACGGCTGCCAGCCATGGGGCAGAGCTGGAGCCGGGCCAGGGCCGGCAGCACCGACATCCCCATCCTCACGACAGCTGCCGGCCCCGGCCCCAGACGCTCCTTCAGTCACGGCCACGTCCTTGCCGGCAAGCTCCGGTTTCCCACCGGGGGCTGCCAGGGGGGATTTATAAACTGTCGCCCACTGCTGTGGCTCCGGCCAAGTCCCTGGGGCGGCCAGGAGCCAGGGACCCCCCCCCCGCACCCTGTGGCTGTCGGCAGGAGCATGGCAATGAGCGGCAGGCGCCGGGGCAGGGGTCGGGGCAGCGGGCGGCTGCATGGCAGCAGCGCTGACTCACAGGGTCTTCCCCGGCTGACACAGCAGCTTGGCGTGCCGGGGCCAGCAAGTGTGGCAGCAGCGCTGCCGGCAGCCCAGCAAGGGCTGTCGGTCCACACCGGTGCCAGGCATGCGGGCCCAGGGAGTCTGGCGAGGGCAGCTGTGGCTCAACAGGTAGCGGGCGCAGGTGGGGGATGGCAGTTCGGCCTTGCTCCTACCAAAGGGGAGTGAGAACTGCCGGGAAGAGGCTCTGGCAGTGAAGCGAAGCAAAGCATCCTTCTGCCTTGGTGGGGGAGCCAGGGATGCGAGCTCGGCACGGAGGCATCCCTCTGCCTCGGCCGGAGCAGAGGGAACCGCTGCCCGCAGCCCCCACGCTCCCACCGATGCCGGCAGCTGCGGGCAGCCAGGGCTCAGGAGCTCCCCGGTGCTGGCCTGGCACCTCCGTGGGGAGGCAGCGGGGTCCCCCACGCCCACGGGACCCCAGCCGCGTCCCTCCCTCCCTCCCTGCCTCCACCTGCTCCAGCTCCATCGCCTCCTCTGCCCACACCACCCTCCCTACCGCCCGCGCCGGATAATGGCAGGAAGCGTCGAGCAGCCCCTTCTCAACCTGCTCCTTCCCCTCTGCCGGCAGCACCACGGCACGGGGACCCCCACTGGCCGCCCCCCAGCCCCCTCAGCAATGCCGTCCTGCTGACGCCCATGGGTGCCACGCATGCCCTGCCGGCGCGGGTGCCGATGCCTTCCCCTCTCTGGATAGGTATAAATAACATGACAGATGTCTATACAAAGAGTTATTCATATCGCTGCCAACCAGCGCAGCCAGGGAGCAGGAGCTGGAAGGGGCGTGGGGGGGAGAATTATAAATAAAAGACACTGTCCTGCAAAAAAAAAGAAAAAAAAATGGAAGAAAGGGGTGGGGAGGAGGGGGGGAGGGGGCTGCGCCGCACCACCGAGGGCACAGCGCCTCGAGGAGCGCCCCGCTGGGCTGGCGATGGGCACCACAGACCCCAGTGGGTCAGTCCCCCATGCCGCTGGCACATGGGGTGGCTCCGCCAGGACCCGGCGTAGCGCCCGCCCCGACACATGCCGGCCGGCACGCGGCCCTGGTGGCCCCCAGCCCGGCGCTCGCCCTGTCCAACACCTGTGGCCACAGTGTCCCCGTAAGGCCCCGGGGCCACCCCGCTGGTCCCCAGCCAGCCCGTATGGCCCCGGCCCACACCAGATGGGCCAGAGGGCTCCATGTTTATCCCACAGGACACCGTATGGGGCAAAGGGCTCCGCGCTCATGTCACCGGCCACCGTCCAGCGCCGAGGGCCCTGCACCCATCCCCCTGGACCCATCGGTACCTTGGAGTAGAGCCCCCAGGAGAGCTCAGTCTCGATGACCATGACGACGATGCCGAACATGCCGAAGATGAGCGCGTAGTCGCTGAGGCGCTTCCGCTTCTCGAAGAGCGCCCGGCGATGCCCCAGCCGGTAGCCGATGTTCTGCGCCTTGCGCTTGGGCCCCTTGGCGAAGGCGGCGGGGGCCGGTCGGGCGGTCGGGCGGTCGGGGCGGCAGGCGGCAGGCGCGTGGTTGTCTTCGCGCGAGACGACGATCTCGGGGGGTCCGCCAGCCCCGAAGAGCTGCAAAGGTTGCGCCTCCGGTTCGGCCTCGATGAGGTTCCTGCGGGATGCGCTGAGCCGGCTGAGGGGCTTCATCACCCCCCCGCTGTACTTGCAGGAGCTCATGGCGATCTCAGTGAAGGGGTTGCTGTCCCGCCGGTGGACCAACGGGCTGGGCTGCCGGTGTTTACCGCTACCAGGTCCGGAGCCCGCCGGGTGGTCGCCGAGGTTGAGCTGGCTGCCGTGGCGGGAGGAAGGGTGGAGGGCGGCGGGGGCGGCGGGAGGAGGAGGAGGGGCCCGTAACGACCCGGGCGAGGAGTGCAACAGGCTGTGCTGGAGCGGCGGCAGC